CTTAGGACAGGAAATATCAAAATCGGCTCAAAATGTAGTATTTTGATAAAAATTATTATTTGAACATTTATTAAAGAAAAAGTTATAAAAAATACTTGCTTTTAAAAATATTACTACTTTCTTGATTTTATTTTGCGAATTTTGTAAATGAAGTCAAACAACACTCTTCGATACCACAAATCTAGAAATGCGAAAGATATCTGATCTCACAAAATTCCTAACTGTTGATATTGCGGGAAATAGCTGTCTATTAATAATAATTATTAATTCCATTCGCAAGGAAGAAGAAGTATAATCCTAAGAAAAATGTGAATCTTTCTATAGTGGCTATTATTACGTGTAAGTTTTGAAAATATTTTCAGCAAATACTAATTTCAATATATTCTCTATTAGTATTTACCATTTATCATAAACTTTTTGTTCAAACAAACCAATAATCCATGTTTTCTTTAATTTACATAATTTATGTATATTCAACCTAGGAAACATTGACCTGAGGTTAAATGATAATTCTGGTAATTGGAGATTTTTTCAAAGACGGTAAAAATACACTTTTAATGTGTTATAAATATAAACTTGATTATATCAAAGATATGCGATGGAAAAAACAAAATTTAGAAAGAAACTACCACTTTTGGATTCCTTTGTAAACATATAATTTTCCGTTATTTTTACGATAATGATTCAAAGAAAAGTACCATACCATTCTATCAAATATAATACACCTTGTATCTTATGTTAGTAGAATATCGAGTAGACCTTGAAATAGAAATTTACGATAATGTCACTTTTGACTTCCATTCGACTTGTTGATCAAATTGTGGTTTGTACACATAATAATATTCATACATTCACATAATCAACAGATAATAGATACCGCTGAATATGTTATAGATATGTCATTCATTTTTCCTTGGCAGAATAAATATAAAATTTTCATTTTCACCATGACACTAAAACTTTATCGTCATTGTTGACTGCAGCTGCATCTTTTGTATTTTTTTCACTTTAAATTAAAGCACTCTATGACTCAGAAAAGACTGGAATCAGATCGGGATGATTGCTATTGAGCATAAAATTACTGTTATTAAATATATATGATATAAACGTAAATTGCAGTTAAAAACAAATTGTTTTACTTGTACTTCACATTTCCTGATCACTTAATAATATATTAAATATTAAGGTCAGTAAGCAGTAAGTGTTCTTTACTGGTTAAGGATATGTTTCCAAAATGTCTAAAAACAGTCAGATACTTCACTGCAGTGTTTATGACGGTTTTTGCACGCTCAAATATTAAATAAATTTAATTAAACCTAAAAAATTTAAATGTTAAAGCTATTTAGTGTTAAGTGACATCTGCTGTCATTAAAAATGTCTCCAAGATAATATTTTACCACAACTTGGTGATTCAGACTTGGAAAATCCTTGGCAGGTAACATGCTCAGCTATAATACCCGAGAAGCCCAAAGACAGATACGAGAAAATCTTCAAGCTATTTGCAGCGTGGTTTAACAAGAAAAATTTTGAAAATACCACAGAATGCAGCTGAATACTCCATGCTCAAAGCCACAATATTTTTGTATAAAGCTGTTGATATTCCAAAATATGCTACGAGGAAAAATATTGGACATACAGTGAAAAAATCAAGAATCTTAACAAGTTAACATGGAAAGTTCGAAAAATTTTACCATACTTTTTATTACAAACACGCATTCCAAAGGAGTTCTGCCACTATTCTAGCAAACCAAGGCCTTAAAAGGCACGGTGGGTGGCGTTCGTCCTCTATAGGTGAGGGATGTATCGAAGATTCTGTGCAAAATCAAAAACAATTTTCAAACAAGATTGTACATTAAAATTATTGAGGAAATTCTACGGTGGCAGAAAGTGATATCGCAGCCCAGAGTGTTATTACAAAATGTTTAGCAACTAAAGCATCATCAGAAGAGAACATTGTTTTAAATCCGAATTCTATTGCTCCAATAAATTTTAATAATTGTTCAAATTGTAATCTTAATTTTGTCTTTAACAAATATTGATTTCTAAAATCCCTCCTGATCGGTAAGCAATCACTTACCGATCGCTAATTTGTAGACGTCACTTACAAATGTCTCAACAAATTCAGTAAAAGTGTCAAATTACCTGAGCGCGCAAAAAAATTATTTAATCTCTTCTTATAGGTATTTTTTTAATCTGCACTATTAAAATTTATTTAATAACTAAATTATACTGATCTCTCTATAAAACTCATTTCCACAATTTTGAAACGATTTCATATAATCACGCCGTAACATTTTTTTTAACCTCCAGTGGTTAGAATTGTGATGAATCGAAAGACCTTGACTTCTTTATTAAATTGTCCATAGACTTCACAGGAGATGTGGGTGTAGGTGCGTGTTTTTATAATAATGTGAATAATAAATTATCACATATTATAATTTGCCAATGTGAAATTCTGTGGGTACGTATTTATTTGAATTTGTCAACCGCAGAGCCGGGGAAAATCTATGCAAAATAAATTTAATCCAGAACTAAAAGTAAACATTTCTTTCCGAATTAAAATTTAGTTTTGTTCGCAAGAAATAAAAGGTAGTTAATACTAACTACTTAATAACACTTAATTTAGGTAATTATATCCACATAAAGCACGAAAAAACACTTAAGTGACCAGGATAACAGTACATAATTGATTTGATTTGTTTACTGTATGGGGATTATTACGTTTTTCTTCACTTCAGTGAGATATCTAATTTAAATAAATGATTCAACTCCAAGGATATGAATAATCTAAAATCTAACATAGATAGGCACCGATAAGTCATTAAAACGAAGTGTGAAATTATTATTCTTGTACTAGTCCTTTATAGAAAAATTTTATTTTCAGATCTTAAATCATCACGGAAGATTTATTCACTCTTTACTGTCTATAATGCCTCAACTTACAAATTCAGAATTGGCGGATATGCTGCTGATGGTAATGTAGTCGAGGCACGTAGAATTTGTCACCATAGATAGGTACCTATCTTCGCCATTTTTTGCTTTGTGCACAATTTTTTTTAATTTGCCTTCAAAACGTGAAAAAAATAGTAGCGTGCATTTTTTCTCAATAAATAATACTTACACCATTAACTGCGTTCATTGTGATATGAATTTCAATAAATTATATCTTCCGGTTCCTGTTACATAAACAGACCTATTTTCTTTTTTACAAAACGGAATAATTGCGGAAAAACCCATTCGTTAAATGAAAGTTAAATAATTTAAAAATATCAATATCACCCGCATTATATTCCTCCATACAGGTATACATTGGGATAATTAGTGTTATCACTTTCAAGCATTTCTTACTACAAAATAATTATTTCCCATTACTCACCGCCATATGATTTGCATAGTGACAATTTTCTTTCATGTCAGCGATAAACGAATAATTATGCATGTGGTAAATATTTTCTGCTTTCTCACGATTAGTCACTATTCCTTCATTGTTCCCCTTTAAACAATGGTAAAGATCGTTGATATGGCTAGCCAATTTGACCACAGGATGTTATCAGTATTGTGGCCCAGCGACGAGATATCATGAATTTTGATTAATCAATCACTAGAATTTACACAACCCTATATCGAGTGTATAGTAATTTACCACATCTGATATTTAATAATTCATTTTGAAATTATTACTTTTTTTCCAATAAATTATTTTCCGCTTTTACACCTGGACTATAGACTATCAAACGCTGAAATATAATGTCAAAGGTAAGAGCTAAATTTATTAATGAAATCAAAAGTTACTGTTTTATTTTGTGGATCTTACATTTTACAGTTTTTGTAGCTTAATAAAAGTAAGGGAATTAGTAGGATTTTTTGAATTTCGGAGAAACTTGATTTTGCGGTTATTCAACAATAATTATTTTCTTACTATAAATACCTTATCCACGGTTTATTGAACATTCAGGGGAGCATAAATTTCACCGAATAAGCAAATACATCCTGGTGTCGCTATACATTATATTAAAAGTTGCTTTTATGATTTTAATTGATAATATATATATGATAATTGATGAATTGATTTACATGATTTAATAAAAACTGAGTAAATTTACAAATGATATTTGATACAACTACAACAGGTGAATTTAAAAATTGTGGGCTTTACAGTATAAAAATAACAGGTTCAGTTCAAAGATTCAGAATTATAACGATAATACTGGACTTTCCAAGACCAATATACTATTTATGACGCTGATAAGTCGACATAGGTTGTTTATTGCAAATAAAAATTAAAAAAAACAATTGCGTTGCAACACCAAATCTGCCCAAACAGGGTAAATTATAATTATTCTTTTGCATATTTCCGTTTTTGATCCACTTTTTTTCTAATAAATGTCGTACATTTTTTACCCGTACATGTCTGTATATACAAAACGTGTTTACAGAATATGGTTTTCAAAACAAGACAAGACATTAACTGATTGTTATTGATGCTAAATTATGTTTATTGGGAATCTGGAACTTACGGAATCGCAGCATTTTCAATAAATTTCCGATATATGTTCTACGACAACAATAATCATCAACAAAATACCTATAAACAAACTCATCATGTTTTATTCATACAGTATAGCGGGAAACTATTATTTAAATTCTTTACCAGTGCTCAGAAGTTAGTTAAACAATATTTATAGATGCCACAACAATGTAGAACTGTTGGAAGAATTCTTTCATTCACTAACAATCGTTTTCTGTGAGTTTACAAATAGCATGGTTTCATATTTTGAAATGTTAAAAAATGTTATTTGTATGCAGGTTCTGACGGTTTTTTGTGATTATATTTGGGAAAAAAATAATATAATTTGGATTTATGGATACCTTTTTCTCCGCCCACCCTGTATATATATCTGTGTGGAAAAAATATGCGGTCTTGACATATAAAAGTTTTAGTTTTATCTACTGAAAGCAATAACAATCTAAATAGCTTATAATACAGTTATTACACTTACTTTGGTCATTTATTGATTAAGTATTCCGATTTCAACGTCTATTTATCTTATTTTCCGTAGTAAAAGTTGTAGAAGAACCGAAAACACTGTACTATAAACATTTACCGCACATTTCGAATCTGTAGTTGCTAAAAACTTCACTGCACACCACCTAAGCGAATTTGAATGAAGCCCATGTGCATACAGGATGACCTTCCGTTCCCCTCCTTGCCAACTGGAGATATTTATAATGAAATTATCTGAAAACCCCGCTATAAAAAATATCTTTCGTGAATTACCATAGGCGAATAACACCCATAGTAGTGAGTAATTCGATCGATTCTATTTCCTAGACTGTTTACAATAATAGTGCTGATTGGACTGTAAATAGTGAAACCCACTTGATGACATAGTTGGCTTTTACGCGGTTGATAGCCAGATATCTGCAAGAGTTTGTTAATAAATTGAGGCAGGGTCGGACTTGGGATAAAGCCGAGGGGGTTCCCAGAAAATGACACTAAAATGTACACCAGTTTCTGTGAATATGAAAAACATTCGTTTTGGACTTTTAAATACAGCACAAAAATGAGAAAGTCTGAGTAAATATTCCGTAAATTTAGAAGGAATTATACAATATTCGTTGCTGAAAACAAACATAGAGAACCTCCGCAACTGACGGCGATGCATTAACCAAAATTGGACAGGACATAGCTAGAACAGTGCGTAACATCGCCATACTATTAGAAATGTTGTCACCGCTATTTCTGTTAGTAAAAACTTGATGAATTTGAAATCATTCAATTTTCGTGGCTGAAAACATACATACTGAATCTACCCAACCGAGAGCGGTGATTGGATGCAATCTACTGTGCCGTACTTTTGTAAAATCCTATGTATCAATATTGTGCTACAATACTTGCAAGGCCTACTATTTCGGACTTTATAAGAAAAGAAGCTGATTTTTCTGGAAAACTGTTAGAGATAAATATGGGCAACCTTATATCAGTTGACAGGGCATTCAATTTTGCATTCACCCATGACAATTAATATGGGTCATTCCATTTGAACTCGTAAGGGTATTAAATGTAAGTCTCAGTATTTCCGAGTTTGAATAACGTACACGTTTTGCTCACAACTGACAAGATAGAGTAATTTATGCCAAAACGAACTGTGAAAACTGTAGGTTTCTAACTCTTACAGTTTAGACGCCATCTAGCCTCATTTAGAGAGCTGAAATTGTGATTTTTTTTCAAAAACAATGAATCAATTGTTTTTGAAAAAGAATCAGATAATCGATTATCTCGAAAACGGTAAGTTCTAAACACCATGTACATTTAATAAACCTAATATTAACCAAGAAATTAATTCAAAAACGCAATAATATACAGGGTGTTCCATTTAAAATAACAAAACTATGTAGCGCCCACGCGAAATGGAACACCCTGTAAAGCTAAAAATATTTTCTTTAGATGGCCCACATGATTCCAGACAACTTTTATTAAAATTATTTTTTTTATAAATTTTACAGTTACAGAGTTACAGAAGAATCCCTCTTAGATGGAACACCCTGTATACAGGGTGTCCCGAAATTAATGCAACAAAATTTGGTCATAGATTCTTAAGACAATTTAGGGGGTTTTAACTCCGAAAGAGGGGGTTCGCAAAAATAAAAAATGAAGGTCCCCTAAATTTGTCTTAAGAATCTGTGACCAAATTTTCTTGCATTAATTTCAGGACACCCTGTATATAAAATTAAGAAATTGGTAACAATTTTAGGGGTTTAGGAAAAAGTAGGAAATTTTATAAAAAAAATGATATGTCGTGTGACCCTGTTAATTTTCACAGATTAGGAAAAATGCAGAGAAACCATTTGGAAAAATATAAAGCTTTTATTCTGCAAATCCTTACAATAATTGACAAGAAAAACTACATAATTTAAATCTCTAATAATAAATATAACATTACAAATTCATTTTATAAATAATCAATAGATAATATTCACCATCCAAATATATGATACGATACTTTCTCAAAAATATAGCATATTATACAATAACAGTGAGAAATTAGCTAAAAAGTTTGAAATTTAAAAAAATCTATTTTTTTATCTGATATTGTGGTTGTTTCATAATTATAACATTGAAAAATGCATTAATGTTAGAATTAGGTTACAGAAGAAAGTATTAAATTGTATTGTTGACAAGTTATTAAAAGTTAGTGATGGGGGACTGCATACAAGACATATTTTTTTTAACTTTATACGATTTATACTTTAAATAACATAAACAACATTAACACTTAATTTAATCAGTGCCATCACATTTTGTACTTAATAGATTAGGGGTTAAAATCTTCATAACAAATTAAAGAGCAGAGTTTTGATTTTCATAATGAATGAATAATTCTTAAAGAAAACAATGAAATGAAGCATTAGTGAGAATAGTTAAAATCATAATGCACATTATAAACTTCATTTAATTTTGGTGGCACACCCTCCATATCGGTATGCAGATCAATGGTTACTCAAAGAAAAAATATTATTTCACAACTGCCGTTACTTTAAGCAGCTTAAAATGATTCCACCAACTCATTTCATCCCATAAAAAAATGATGATAAATTTGTTAACAAAAATGTCAAGATTTTGTGGAAGTTTTATTTTCACCATTGATCTTCACTCTTAACTGGAGAGAGACTTTTCATTTAATCAAATAATTTTAAGTTTGAGTAGAAACAAATATAAAACACATTAGCAGTACATGTATATAAACATTTTTTTTACTATATTTATTCATTTGTGGGTTAGGATATACAAATTCTTATAATAAAATACTAATGAATAAAAATTTGATGGATTGCAACCAAGTTAAATTATCCAATAGTGAATATTAGTGTTTGTTTTAAATTATCTGTCAAGTCGATTTCCAGGAATATAAAGTTGAATTTAACAGGTCTATAACATATACAGGGTGTTCAAAAATATGAGTAAAAAATTCTGAAATTATTCTAGTCTTAAAAGTAATGGTACAAGTTCTTATGATACTTTCCAAAAAGTAAATATTAATTAGTGATGGGAGATTTCGAGTGAAAAATCGAGAGGTACTCGATTATTGAGATCACTCGAGATATCTCGAGATGTTTACTCCCACCACTCGAGTGATTATTACCCTACGGTTGCACCCCAAAATGTTAGTGCATACTGCAAATAGTCACTGATTGCGTAACCTTTTTTTTAGATAAAACGAAAAAGTGGTTAGGTTTTGAAGAGCGTGGGCTTTTTTTTTTTTTTAGCTACGCTTATAAGTAATATATGACTAATACAAACATATTTGTGCGCCACTGGGATGAAAACGACCTATATCTCGTATCTCGAGTGATCACTCGATTACCGATAACTCGATTATCAAAATTGGTCGATTATGCCCATCACTAATATTAATAGAGTTACATAACCTCAAATTATTTAATATTTTCTTATAACTTCTTTTCCAGACAACTGACTTTCGATTTTGGTACATTTATTATTAAGAACAAATTACATACATAGTTTTTAAATAGCTCTTGAAATGTATTTTTTTATTACAATCGACATTATCATTGGTCTGAAACAAGAAAACTTTTTTGTAAGATTTTTAGCAATTTCCAGTATAAATTTTTTTTATCAAATAAATAAGACATGACAAATTTTCTATTCAAAAAGGGCCATTTAACCTCTTTAACGCTTTACAATTTTAATCAACTTTTTTTCACAGGTAAAATTTGTTGCTTATAGGTGTATCAAAATGTGAAAAAATCGCTTAACTGAAAAAAAAAATGTGGCAAAAAAGTAATTTTGAGATTATGTTAATGTTAAATATGGAGTTTTCAAAAAAAACTTCATAGGAACTTATACCATTCTTTTTACTAGTCTAAATTTTCTGCTTATATTTTCCACATGCCCTTTATTGCCCGAAAATAAACTGTAAAATTGTCCTTCCCAAATGACGCATAAAATATATTTAAATTTTTTATACTGATTACACTTCTTTCATCCTACACACTTCATCTTGACCTGTGATTAAAAACAAAAAAAAAGTGCTAATATTACTACTAAATATCGTCTTACTCTTAAACTACTATAAAAAACTTGAATTCAGTGACCTTTCATATGTCACTTCGTCGGGACTTATCCTGACGTGCTCCAGAGAACAGTAAGGTTGAGTGCCGTTGCTCAACTCGGCGCTATCATCGAATGGCGACTGTTCGTGACTTTCAAAAGAAGTTTGATTGCCTAGAAGCGGTAGGCCTAGGATTAGCCTGACATTGTCGGTGAGGTGATCGGCCTCTTTTATTTGATAGAATATGCCCTCGGCTTTGTTCAGCATCACCGCCATGTCAAGTCTGCCGTTCAGATCATTGATATGCTGCAAAGAGAAAAAAAATCAGAAGGGGGATAATATCGTGATGGTTACAAATTATCCCGATTCTTATACAAACTTACTTTTAAGATCTCCGTAAATCCGTAGTTGTTCTGTATGATTGTGTCAGCTTCTGTTATCAGAATAGCGACGCACACGAGCAAGTGGAAATTATCACAGGGGAACCCTGTCCATAGGACCTCCCAGAGCCGCATGGCATCTTCTTGGCTTAGTTCCCTTTTAAACCATACTAAGAGCCAGCGGAAACAAAAGAACATGTTGCCGGAGTCGTGCTTATCCAGATAGTCGGACATTTTAGGGTCAATGAAAGCCAGAAGAGTGTGCAGGTTGTTGAGTTGTTCTTTCATGCCTGCCTGGTCTATGTCAAAATTCGAAATCTGAAACAAAATATTGCAATTTATCAATCATTATTTAATGTACTAGAAGTTGGATTAATGTGTTTTTAATCAGAAATGTAGTAATATATTTTACCAATTTGTTCATGAAGCCAACGAAACACCAAAAGGCATCAACCTCGTTCCTAAGTAGCTGCAATATTGGTGACAGAAGGTCGCTCATGCCCTGTACATAACCCAGATCGAAATTGTACATAACATACGTCATGAGAATATCGTTCAGCATCTGCAAATTTGAATTGTTGTCTCCAGCGAAGAAATCAAGTGTTCGATCCGTTCGGTTGACGTCTTTCTCAATCAAACTCTTCCTGTCTCGGTAATCAGAAAAGTTGTCTTCCTGTACTTTTGTCATACGTTTCCACTGAAGTTTCATATTATAATACTCATCTATCTTGGTTTGCACGAGTTTCTGACGTTCTGCTTCGGTGCTAGACCACGGGTAATACTCTAAGAGGAACTTCCATACTTCGGTCCTTAAGGAAGGCGTAACACCCTAAAAATATGACAATATAAGTGTGTAATAATCGTTGAAGGCTCTCATATTGAACTTACCCCTCTGAAAATCAACGTTTTTATGGATTCGACATCCTCGATTTTTCCCTCACAATTCAAATGGCCCCTCCACTGTTCGACGGAAAGTGGCCGCAGCCTAGGGAAGTCCTTCCGTGGGGGCAATTCCGGTACTTTGGCTATCACTTCGTAATCCCCTTGCGAGTGAGTGGTGGTGTTCTCGTATTCTGATAGGCTCCTGTTCAAATCTTCTCGTTGATTGTCATCTATTTCTCTTTGCTCAGGACTTCGATAGACTACAATTTGGAAATGTATTAAGATGTGTTGTAACTAATTTTTCAACCCATGTTTAAAGTGTTGTCTATGTCACCATTGGGTCATTTCCCAACTCGGTGTGCACTTATCAGTGTTGCCTTTTGTTACTTTTTTGCAATGCCATTCATTAATTTTATTAGAATTACTTTGAAGTATTTCATAGTCATAACAGTTGTCAGCATAGAGCAATGAGTAAATATCGAGATCAACAGTGACATTATTTATAATCCGAATTAGTACCTATTCAATCAGCTTTCACTCAATAAATTAACTAAAATCTTTTATGAATTGAACACTACACCACAACTATTAGGAATAAATTTAATTGCCAACATCTATTAATATGTAGGTAATACTGCAAAATAATCAACAATAAAAAAACATAGTGTTTAAAAAAGTAGGTCAAGATGTTAAGCATCTGTTAAGGGTGTCAAAATTGCGTTTAAAAAAATATGCAGAGTTTCTTTTTTAAGATATTACCACTTTGTGTACTTTTTTACAACGTTATATTTAAGGCTTGATATTAAAACAATATAAAGAAAAGTCAAATAGTTTTGCTCAAAAAAACTGTGGTTCACTTGGCCTACTTTTTTTGTTACACTCTCGGTTACACTGTGTATGTGTAGGTATTACACCCAAAATAATGTATGTATGAGTATCTACTTCATTTTAATTGTTTATCTTTTATCTGGCCTCATATATTTTTATCAAATGTAAACAAGAACAAACCAAAAAAAATCTATTGTAAAAAACAAGGCTAATTTTCTTGGAAAATACCTAAGCGAGTATCAGCATAAAAAATTGCAAGCATTTGCTATTTATAGACTAGAAACAGCTCATACATTTATATCTACCTAGGTAGAGCAGCATGAAAAAGTAGGGCACATAGAATGAATTCCAAGGGTATTTACCATAATCCGTGACTTTGGCGAATGCCTCAAAAGTGGCCTCATAGGGATGGTCTCTGATGTTCTTGACCATATTCCAAAAGGTCCGTCCATCGTTTTGTAAATTCAGTTCAGCAAACGACCTGTCCAGTCGTTGTAGTTCTAAGTTGTTTGAGTCATACACTATAAATAGGTGCTTGTCTCTTCTGGACGGTCCTGTTTTTAGCATTGTTTTAATCAGAGATACCATCATGTCGCAGTTTCCGTTATTAAACAAGAAGCTGCACATGCTCTCCGATTTGCCATCATAGAAAGTAAGCTGTCTGCTTTTGTTGGCAATTCGGAAACTTTTGATGTCATTAAAACTGAATTTAATGTATTTTGGCCGGCTGTGATAATCTGGTTGAAAATTACCGCTTAAAGTGCGACTTCGTTTCTGGATGGTATTGACTAGCGCCCATTCCTGATCTTGTATTTCAGGCTCGATTGTAATTTCATTGGGTTTCCATTCGATAAATCTCTGACGACTCGAGTTTGGGCATTCCGTAATATATAAGGTTCCGATTGCGTTGATATGGGACATGTAATTGGCAGGAGCCTGCTTCAGGAGTACACCATCTTGCGTGAAGGTTTCTGAGCAGTCTGAACACTCTTCAATACTATCACCCATTGTTTAGCAATTGTTTAATTAATCTTGCACATGAAAATATCCACGACGGTGTTAGTCATAGTCACGTTTTATTCTTTATGCGTTAGTAAAACACATTCACGTGTGCACTCTTTAATCTTATTACAGCAAACTGGTTTAAATGCGTGCATTCCTAAAATGACTAATACATCTTATAACATATTTACACGAGTTAAATGTTTAACTACATAAAACTTAATAACTTCGCATTAATGACAGTATCTGACAGTGACAATACGTTGACAATTTGTTTATATCGGTTTGTCATTGAAATTCATCTAAGAACAGCGTTGCCAATATTTTTTGTTCCGCTACCACAGCTTTTTAGCATGGTCGTATTTAGACGAAATAAAAAGCAGAACTCATCTATTCAACCATATTCTGTGCTAAAGGCACAGATTACAGGAAGATTAGCTAAAGGTTAAAATTATCTGGTTTAAAAAATATACCTAAGAAATGTGACGACTAAAATGATTTACTAAGAAATTAATTATACTTACCTACAAATATAAACAAAAACAACTAGATTTTTTATGTTCCAGTACCTAGTTGATATACGTAGTTCACTCATTGAAATTTAAAGTTACAAAATTTCGTTGAGATTATCAAAATTGAATGCAGTCAAAATAATGAAAGTACATAAATTTGGCAATGGTGTTTAATAAAATTTATTTCCAGATTTTTATTTACATTACATACTAAAACAATTAGGTCACACATATTAGTGAAATATCCAATGTCAGAACTGTAGCTGTCCTTGTTTTCCATTCCTGATACGTGTAAAATAAAAATAAATGCTACTTTAGCCAATGATAATCTGACAAGACTGTATTTGTGCGCCACGTGATTTATGAAGGTACGTAAGTTTCTAATATGATTACAATTTCCATACTAGTTCTTAGGTACAGTTACTGTTATGTGGCTCCATCTTTCAGAATTATTTTCGTTATATGTAGATTAATTTGTAATTAGATACGTCCATTTGTAAAGACTTAGTTTTTTACGGTAACAACACTAATAGCTGTTTTACATTGACAATTTATTGATCAATTAATTCATGAAGTCGCTTCATCAAGAAATTGGATNGCCAATGATAATCTGACAAGACTGTATTTGTGCGCCACGTGATTTATGAAGGTACGTAAGTTTCTAATATGATTACAATTTCCATACTAGTTCTTAGGTACAGTTACTGTTATGTGGCTCCATCTTTCAGAATTATTTTCGTTATATGTAGATTAATTTGTAATTAGATACGTCCATTTGTAAAGACTTAGTTTTTTACGGTAACAACACTAATAGCTGTTTTACATTGACAATTTATTGATCAATTAATTCATGAAGTCGCTTCATCAAGAAATTGGACAAGTGTAATGCACCAAATTTGCTGTCAAATAACTTCATGAATTTATTTATCAAGTTCTTGACGAATTAGAGCATGTTCTAATTTTCGTCAATTTCTTCGTGAAGTTCGGAAGTACCAATCCAACAGATTTCCAGCCTCAGATCTCACTGATCTCAGATCAGTAATGAGGTTATGTTATTGGAATATGTAAATAATTGTGTGGTAAACCACCTGTTTACCAATAAATTCGTGAATTAATTCGTGAAGAACTTCGTCAATTTATTCATGAATAAATTATCAACGTAAAACAGCTATTACACATTTAACACAGCTTAAAACATTACCTGTACCAAATTTGAACTGTTTTTTTTAAATATGGCTAAAATATGACGTTAAAAAAATTTTCTTTGACGTAATATAATATAAGTCCATAAGAATTTGTTTTTATTAATTGATCTATTGATCTCCAAATTTGTGGTACAGGTACGTTTTCCAAAATACTCTTTACAAGGCGTTTACAGGTTTGAAACGAAAAGTTTTACTAGGTTATAGGACACACGATTTTAAAATACTTACTTTCATATTATAAGCGTGGGTTGTAAAACATTTTCTTTTTGAGATATAGGGTGCTGAAAATTAAAAAAATATATCACAATTTTTCAATTATTTATATCTAAAGAAGTTTGACGTAAACTATAACTTTGGGTTACAATTTATCTATTTAGAGGTAAATTTAATTGAGGCACTTGAGGTGACTTACAAGTAACTACGTCTAATTGTGTTTCTAATAAAAAAAACAAACTATTCATTTTAGAGTTACGATTTTTTAAATTTTTGCGTAAACTCATCATAACAGAGAATAAATCTAAAACATAATTAATTTATAGACTTTTATTGTTACAAATAGAATTTTAAATACATCATCCAAAGTCCAAAAAAAAATCGTTGGAGTAGCAATTTTTATTTCTTTATGTGTGTATTTCTAACAAAGATTTTTCATAGATTTTTTTTCTAAACCGAGTTGTAAACCGAACAGTTTTAGAGTTATTTTTATTTTATTTCGATATTTCATTTTTTTGGTTTGATATTACATGCTTCATTTACATTTCATACATTTAATCAATTAAAAAAATATTTCTTTTGTATCTCATCCGCCACTGGTTCTCGAGCTTGTAAGCTAACTCGGCCAATATTTACCTCTAAATCATCTAATTAGATAAATGATAGGTCCAACTTTTATTAGTCTACATCAAATATCAGAAGAGATAGGTAGGTAATATTTAAAAAAATGATATTTTTAACATTTTCAACACCAACAGAAAACGAAGCGTTCTGCAACCCACATTTATATGAACATTTTTGCTTAAAAATTGAAATACTCTGTTTACATATAGGTATCTGTAAGCATATTTTGAAAAGGTAAGTATATTCTTGAAACAGGAATGTGAATAGCGTTCCTATACAGTAACTGAACTTAAAACTAATATAACCAAGTTTAAATCTCTTACCGTTTCTTACACTGCTATGAAAGATGAAAGCCTATTTAAATGTAGTTGTACAGATTGGATTTACAGAAAAATACATATACAATAATACATATATCTATCTAGAGAAAAAGTTTTATCCATTCATTGTATTAAGAAATAAAACACTTTTTACTTCAGACGAGCTTAGTCTGTTCCGTCTCTCCGTTAAAAGCTGGCCTGATTTGGTGAAGAGTCTTTCGCAAGGCACCGAGGTTGCAACAGGAATGAACTTCAATCTCGCTAATTCACTTAAATGCGGTAGATTAAACGAATTATTTTTCCACCACAGTAGCGGGTCTTCGTTACGGGGAATGGGGGGTTCCTCTAAATAACGTTGCACTTCTAAAACCGCCTTGGAGTGAGCGTTACCAATTGGATGAGATGAAGCAATTTTTTTATCAAACTTACTCCAAATAGAATCGTCTAGGTCGACGGCTTCCCTAATTGGTTGAGCAACGCCTTCGCCTCTTTCATGTATCAGCTGTGTTAGCGAAGCTTCTATTTGCTCTTTAGCTACATTCGCTGTTATCTCATTCGAAAATCCTATGTTTTTAAATCGTGGGTCCAAAAATGTTGTTAAAACCAAGGATTCATTCCCCTCTAGATCACCAAGTTTAGTAGTCAACCCTTTCTGGATAGAGGCGATTATGTTTTTAGCTGATTGAGTGAAATTTTGCTTGTTCAGATTTGAATACACATCTACCAAACCATCTGTCAGTATTATAACAGAAGAAGCAGTGATATATTTTTCTTCGCACATTATTTTAGTGACTGTTTCTAAAGGTTTTATGATCTTGACGATTTCACTGAAAAAACGCCATTCCTCAATGGTTATCGTGGGACAATTTTTGTTAATGAGAGCCATTGTGGTGCGCAGTGGTTCTTCTAGTTCTGTGAACCTTTCTAACATATAGAAAGCAGAGTTCCATTGCTTTGGTACAGACTGAATTAGATGTTTGGGTAAAAGTCCCGCTTGTTTTTGTTGATGCATGAATTTTGCGGAAGTGGCCATGTTTCGTTTAAAATGGCCTACGATTGTCCTAACTTTGTCTACGCTGTCGATTATTAGCTTCAGTACATCTTGTGCAATTAAATCCAGTTTATAGGCAAAACATCCAAAGTGTTGAAGTCCTAAGTCAGTAACAGCTTTTGTAATGCTATTTGAATTATTTGAAACTACAATTAAAACTTTTTCATGTAAGTTCCACTCATTTACAACGCGAGCTATTTCAGTGTATAAGTTTGCACTCGTAGGGCTTTTCCCAAATGATGAACATTCCAACAAGATCGATTTCTTTTCAAAATTTATATTTATAAAATGTGCCGTTATGGCTACAAAGCTTTCATAGCTCTGTGTAGAACTCCAACAGTCGGTAGTCAACGTAACAGATGGAATGTCGTCTAATATATTTCTAGAAGCATTGTATGCTTCTTCGTAGGCAGAGGGTAAAAAAGAATCAGTAATTGTTTTTCGCGATGGTAGCTGGTAAGTCGAATTTAAAGTGCTGACAAAACTTTTAAAACCTGCTTCTTCTACTATGGAAAATGGTTGAAAATCCAAAGTAAATAAACGTAACAATGCATCATTTATTTCTCTTATAGTGCTCTTTTTATTTTTTCTTTTTAATAAGTTCTCTATAAAGTTTTGTCCCAATGGATCTTTTGAACAAGAAGCGACTTGTGAATTGTCAGCCGCTGCCTGTAATTCTAATTCCATGGCTTCAGGATACACTAAATTAATATCTTCACTAGTATTTTCCGTTGCTACGACGACAGATATTTCTTGGGTTTTAATATCTTCGCCTAATACTGCAAAAGGGTGCTTTCTCTGAATGTGCCTTCGCAAATTATTCGATGTTGCTTTGTAACTTAGTTCATTTTTGCATATGTTACAAGAAGCTATTCCATCGGAGTCGGGTTTTGGTTGGAAAAAGTTCCAGACTGCAGAGGATTTAACTTTCGGCATGTTGATAATTTTTTTTTCCAGATTCACTCACTTAACAAAAAGAATACAATGTTCAAAAATTGTGATCGCGATTCCGAAGTTTGAGCAAAAAGAACGCAACCCCAACAAACCACAACAATGGCAATAACGTTACCAGATGTATCCCCTTAAGTCATTTCTTGCAGTATATTTCGTACCATTCCACTATTTGTTCGCTGGTGTCAGTTTAATTAAACAACGGTATTTCGTAACGGTATTTCTCCAAAACGGTCGCTGCGCATTCATTTCGTTACAACTGCGGAACCATTTTGTTCACAACTAACTTGGACAGCGACTTGGAATCTCGGGAGATATAAATGAATCTGTTTACAATATTTGTTTCATAATGCTATCGTGTCATCTATCAATCAAAAGTTTAAACATATAGTTCTACTATTATAGTTAGATCTTCATCTGATTTTTACTCAATTCCCATAAGTACAGAAATCTGCACTAAACTGAACTCGGCATCTCGGAAAACTACTATACTACTGGTCTTAATTCTAGACCACGTCTCCTAGATGTCAGATACTCTCGAATTCTAGACTAGGCGACACTGGCGACAAGCATAGGGCGTGGGAGTCATTAGATTGAGGTTCTTATTGTGGTTGTATGTTCAAACAATATTTCTTTGCAAACGACAGCCAACCAAAGTATTTTGCTTTTATGATAGCCCGCGCCATCTAGAGAAAACGGTCCACAATTAATGTTAGCTTTGTACCTAACTGTATTTTTTATGAACATTGGTATGGTGAAAAGACAGTGACTTAATAAGGAAAAAGGAAAATATAATGAATAAAGCCATTATACGATAGTGTAGATCTAAAATTTTAGTAATTAAATCGAAATTTTCATTTTTATTATATGGCGCCATCTGCAAATGTAAAGGTTAAATATAAAGTTGCAGCTACCGTAGTTATACCTCAATTTTTATTTTTTATACCTTTTAGAGGTTGTCAATAGATGGCTGTAGGTGTCTTAAATCAAACCATTTTTAAGAAGTGTTTATAAAAGGATATTCATGCAAATGTAACAGAAGGAATATACATTTTCTTATAAGAGATTAACTAGTTTACTTCGAAATTAAGGTATTTAGAAAATTATATTCTTAGAATATTTCCGCACTTAATAACATTCAAACTGGGAACGAAAGCCATAAAAATATCTTCTTTAATCTCTTTTGTGAATAGGTATATGTATGCGGTGATCTGCCGTATCGATACTGCACCAATAATACCGAAAAGAAAAGAGTATGATATATAATAGAAGGGTGCGTCACACATATGGACTCCATTGTATTTTAAGATGGTTTAACAAATCCCCTATGCAAACGAAGGAAGGAATAATATAGTATAGTCAGGGAGCACGATGAAAAAACTGATCATGGGAGAGTAGATCTTTATTTTAAGGTACAACCTTTTTTTAACATTTTCGGACAGTCAAACATTTCATTATTGTTATCATTGTCATCATATTTTTCATCATCATCGACATCGTCATCTTCATTGCTGTCTTCACCATTATCTCTGCAATCGCAATCATCGTCATAACACCACCATTATTGATATTATTATTAGGTATAGCCATATAAATAGGTAGATAGGTATATTTATTTTATTCAAAAAGAATTTGGTTGTAGATTCATTACTACATTATGTATTAATTTACTTATTTATCTATTACAACAAAACAATGCAATGCAATTAATCTGTCATTCATTACATTCGTCAGACTTTTGTCGTTTTCAGTAATAGTTGATCTCTAAATATGTACTTGCTCTGGCAAAGCACTATAAGTATATTTTAAAATTGTTTGCACTACTTTCTTTTTTTAAATTTAGTTTTAGTCTTAATTTGGTTTAAGATTTTGCTGGTCTTGGCGCTACTTTTATTTTGTAATTAATAGCGCCCTTATAATTGTAATGTTTAGTATCATTATGTCGGGTTGCAATTCACATAAATAAATAAATGTATACTTATAATGATTTAGACATTTGTTCAGTTGAAATAGTGGTTTAACTCTTAGCAACCAGAAGCCCCGACTATAATGCCGATGGCTGATCGGCTGAAGGATATATGCGGCTAATCGATTACACTCCACCAGTCTCTGCTCTTATCGCCGTCCAGCAGCTGCGGTACGATTCGTTTTCGACGTCTAAGTCAATATGCAAAATGCAGGATGTGCCTTATTGCGACACGTTTTGCCTCCGATAACGGCACAACCAGGAGCCGGAGCATCGCAAGGTTGCTTCTTACTCCTCTTTGGGCGATCGAATATATTCCTTATATTAAACAATATTTACAACACTCCGAGTGCTTTATAGTAAATAAATTAGTTAATTTGAATCAGTCTAGAGCTATAAAAAGTAAACATGATATAATTGTCCAACAATTTCGTCATTCCTACAACAAAAAGTTTTAATGTTCCGTTTGAAATAATGTAAATAAGGATAAGGCATTTATTTGAATGAAAAAAGTCAGAAATTTAAAATATTTCATTCTATGTACTTGTGTAGGATTTCCGTAACCTAGTATCCTAACACGGCTGTGTTTATTTATACAGGGTGGCCAAATGAAAACGAAACAGATCCATTTTCAGGAACTGCGTCAAGATTGTAGAAAAACGCTCAGACCCGTCGATTTTAGATTAAAGGGGGACATTCTTTGCTGGTATTTTTGACTCCACCACTTTCACCCCTAAGCAAGGGTAAGCATCACCCCAAAATATTTAAATGGTATTGGGGGTTGAGTAATATTTCTTTTGAAAGCTCTTACAATTCTCTTTACAACAGACTTTAAATTTTATAATTCCGCCCAATACTTATTAAGAATTTTTATTTTAAAGTTGAAACTTATGTACAAACAATTAGTAACGGTAAAAATGTCAGTCATTCGAGTTAAGTACGCCAATGGTATAAATTTAGTATTTCTTGCGTTACATTGGTTTTTGGCGATTTGTTATCACTTTCGTAAAAAAAAACACAATTATAAAAAACAGAAATGAATGCTATACACACACAATGAACGTAAAATTGGTGAATTCCAAATTATTTTCTAGTATTATTTGGAAGTGTTGGTTGGTGTTGATAGTTTATTTAATTGTGTTTTTGAAAATTAAACACTATGGTCCATTCCATTGCGGAAAGGGTAGATATCATTTCGCTTTACTTGATGAACAATAAATGTACGAATAGAACAGCTCACTTATTTAATGACCAACATCAAGATCGACATGTCAGAAGAAAGTATGTTCTAGAGTTAGTGAAAAAATTTGAACATAACCTATAGTTAATGAAGCTACTGAAGTTGCAGTTTTGGGACAAGTTCATCTTGATCCTACATTAAGTACGCGGCAACTGGATCTGTGTTTGGTATCAATCGAACTAGCATTTTGAAGAAGAATAAATTCCATTCATACAAAATACATTTAGTCCTGGAACTTCATGAGGATGATTATGACAGGCGTCTGCAATTTTGCGAAATAATGAATGAGCGAGCAGGGACGATCCACAGTTCCTTTTTAACATCTGTTTTTATGATTAGTGCAGTTTTTTCTTGAACGGGACGATTCAAACCCAAGAGTTTTCACGAGGTTCCTTTTTTTCTACCTGGTAATTTGACTGGCCAAATGTATTTGCAATTACTGGAAGACGCTATTGACCCTGCCTTGACTGATATTATTGAAAATGTTCCAGAGTATGATGAAGATCATTTGATTTTTCAACAGGACAGTACACCTCCGCATTATGCGTTAATTGTCCGTCAGTATTTGGACCAACGTTTTCTACGGAATTGGATTGGGAGAAGAGGCAGCATTGAGTGGCCTCCACGATCACCGGATTTATCGTCCCTTGATTTATTTTTGTGGGGATACCTAAAAGGTAAAATCTATAAAACACAGCCAGCGTCGCTGGAAGATTTGCGTCAAAGAATCGTCGACGAATGCCGTCGAATCACTCCGGAAATGCTTCGGAATGTGCGCGAACGTTTCCAATAAAATGTTTATTCTTGTATGGAAGTGGGCGGTCATCAGTTTGAACATATAATCAACTAAGTAGTAAGTAAGCAACTAAATATAATTTAAATTTTAAAATGTAAATTTGTTTTAAAGTATTGGACGGAATTATAAAGTCTGTTGTAAAGAGAATTGTAAGAGCTTTCAAAAGATTTATTACTCAACCCTCCAATGCCATTTAAATATTTTGGGGTGATGCTTACCCTTGCTTGGGGGTGAAAGTGGTGGAGTCAAAAATACCAGCAAAGAATGTCCCCCTTTAATCTAAAATCGACGGGTCTGAGCGTTTTTCTACAATCTTGACGCAGTTTCTGAAAATGGCTCTGTTTTCATTTGGCCATCCTGTACATATAATAACAGCCAAGTTTCATTTTTGTGGATCGAATTGATTGAAAGTTATATATTAATTATAAAAATGAGTCTTGCTACTGAAAACAATTTAGAAAATTGTTCTGAAGACATTTTAAATGCCGTTTGCTCGCTAAATACATTTTCAATATGGGCACTTTCCACCTCCATACATTCCTAAATCTACGAATGTCATTTGTTTGTACTCGAAAAAGCACATAGCAGTTATGTCCAATCAAAAATTAAAAACAAAAAATGGTGGAGGCGTCGCTCGATGTGCACTGTGCATATCATCACAAATATTTCCTAAACTGTTCATTTTACCAATTTGAACCAAGAGAGTATTATCGTTGACAAATTCTTCAGGGACTTATTTTTGATACAGGCACATTGCGATCGTCATCTATACAAAAATTCTAAGTTGTTAATCGTTGGGCATAGTCCATCCTGGCGTTCTGGTCATAACGAGGTTTCACTTACAACATCAAAAACAAGCTGTACGCATGTATTATCGATTTTGTACGATCACCAAATTTGCATCATTCTGAAGTTAATAGTTTAAAACTGATATTATTTTGACCTCATCCATTTGTATCTACTCGACTTTTTTGTATCAAGTACTGGGACAGCCTGTACCCTAAAAAAACTGTGGGAAAAATATATTTTAGTAATAAACAGAAATACATACCTGTAAATATATTCATATAACAAGAAACCAATAAAATAAAATCTTTTTTTTTGTTAACTACCAAATCTCTTTACTAGCAGCAAAAAATGTGAAATTTTTAATTTTGCCGCAGTAAGCAGTATTTCCAACAGAATTTTAAAAACATTTTGATTGTAAGAAAAGATAAAGTGACGTAAAACTTTGAATTCGAAATATAATTATGTATATTATAGGT